TGGCGCTGTGGCTCAAGTGGTAGAGCGCTAGCCTTGAGCTGAAGAGCTGAGGGACAGCACCCAAGCCCAGAGTTCAGGCCCCACGACTGGACCCCAAAAAAAAAAAGTATGACTGTTTGTGAGTAATACTCACTAGACACTACATTGAAATAAACTATACAACTTGTGGATGGGAACAGAAGGGATGACACTGTCCAAAAAGAAATGTATTCTTGGGCTGGGAAGGTGGCTCAATGGTAGAGAGCTTGCCTTGCATGCATGAGGCCTTGGGTTCGATTCCTCAGTACCATATAAACAGAAAAAGCCGGAATTGCTGATGTAGCTCAAATGGTAGAGCACTAGCCTTGAGCTGAAGAGTTGTGGGACAGTGTCCAGGCCCAGAGTTCAGGCCCCAAGACTGACAAAAAAACAAAGAACAAATAACAACAACAAAAACAAGACAAAAAGCAAAGAAAAAAAAACCCTTTGGGCCCATTTCCTGGAGTTCATTCTGATATTTTGTATGATCAGATGCACATAGATATTGCACCTTTGTGTTCCTCCCCTAAGAGTATCTTCCTTTGGTCTCACTGTGTGTGAATGCCTACAGTCCTGTATCACTTATCACATCCCTGTGTACTTTAGATCTAGCTTCCGCATATGAGAGAAAACATGTACTGTTTGTCTCTCTGAGCTTGCCTTACTTCAGTTAACATGATTTGTTCTGGGTCCATCCATTTCCCAGCAAATGACATAATCTTATTCTTTCTAATGGCTATGTAAAATTCCATTGTGTATAGGCAGCATGTTTTTCTGTTTGTTTAGTTGGGTTTTTTTGGTGGATCCAGTTATTTTTTAGGGATTCTGGGTTGTTTCCATAACTTAGCTGTAATAGAGTGCGGCAATAAACATGGATATGCAAGGGTCTTTACCAGTATTAGCATTTAAAAAACAAAAGAGGATCATCTAACCCTCAAAAAAAAAACAGTGCCTACAGTTGGCACCAGTGGTTCATGTCTGTAGTCCTAGCTAATTTTTTTGTTGAAGGCTAGTGCTCTCCTGGTTGCACTTCTGGATTTTTTATGGTTTATTGGAAATATAGTCTCATGGACTTTCCTGTCTAGGATGGCTTAGAACCACAGTCCTTAGATCTCAGCCTCCTGAGTAGCTAGTACTATATATAGGCATGAGCCATTGGCACCTAGCTAAGAGAATTTTTTTTCATACCAATTTTTTTTTGTTTTGTTTTTTTTGGTCAGTCGTGGGGTCTGAACTCTGGGCCTGGGCACTGTCCCTCAGCTTTTCAGCTCAAGACTAGTGCTCTACCACTTGAGCCACAGTGTCACTTCCGGCTTTTTCAGCTTACGCGGTGCTAAGGAATCAAACCCAGGGCCTCATGCATGCAAGGCAAGCACTCTACCACCTTCCCAGCCCCATACCAATTTTTAGATCTTACCTCAAGACAATCAAAATGTAAACTCCACAAAAACAGAGATTTTATTTATTTTGCTGAGCATTTATGTATTGTGTATAGGGGTGTGTGTGTATGTGTATGCTTGAGTGTACTGGGGCTAGTAGCACTAGTAGCCTTGTGCTTCCCTCCGCTTTTTCACTCTACCACTTAAGCCACATCTCCAGCCCAGCATTTTCACTACTCAATTGGAGACAGAATCGTGTAGAACTCTTTTGCCACTGGCTTTAAACCTTGATTCTCAGATCTTAACCTCGTGACTAGCTAGGATTACATTCATGAGCCACCAACACCTGGCTATGTACTGAACTTATCAATGACAGAAAACTCAGTTTATTCAAAGCAGATATGAACAATTCTAGTTCTTACTGTAGTTCTTTATATAAAGTTCAGAATCTGCCTTCCAGTCATCTGTGAGCTCCAATTCTGCAAGTGTTCTACCACTAAGTTATTTCACTAGTGCTCTCCCATATACTTTAAAGCATCCCTAGCTTACAATACATAATACAATGTAAACATTATGTAACTAGTTGTTATATTGTATTATTCAGGAATTATGGGCAAGAAAAAAATCTTTAAGTTCAGTATAGATACGATTCTTTTTGTGAATGTTTTCAGTTCATCGTCAATTTGAATTCACAAATGCCCAACCTGTGGACAGAAGGGCTAACAGCATTCAATTAAACTAAAATATTTTCCTCAAGTGTTAAGAAACTCCATTTACTTCATCTGTCACACCAGGCACTTCAGACTACACTAAACACACTTTTTTTTCCCTCCCAGATCTGTTTAAGAAGTATGAACGGTGTCATTTGTTCATTCACACCTCTCCCCCTCTCTCAGAATTCAAATATATGTGAGGTAAGCCTCATGGCTAATCACTTCATAGATGTGGCAGAACACTACTGGCAATAGTATTACTAATACTATTTACTATTACTAGTTTGGAATCCAACAATAAGGCAGTGGAGGTGAGCAGGCTGCAAGAATGTTGGACTGGTGGGTGGAAGATGAAGAGGGGGAGGGTTTTATCAGGATACATATGGAAACATCACAGTGAAATCCCTGTGTACAACTAATATAAGCAGATAAGTGGAGAAACACAAGTAATAGATTCAGGATGAGAAGCTAGGAGTGACAAGGAAATTGAAATTAAAACTTGGTTGAAAGGGAGAAAGCATGAAGAAGCGATGTCTCCACTTAAAAGCCTTAAGAATTTACCTCCCACTTTAGAAAAGAACTAAGATGAAAGCCATGATCACTTTGCACTCCGGGCGGTGGGTCTACGACCCCAGACTCTGGTCTCAGCTCCCAGGCTTACCTACCATTCATGCAGACTCTCACTAAAACAGGTATTACCACTGCTTGTTCGGAGTCCAGGTGTGAGGAAGCATTACAGCATCCGGCACCCAGAGTTTACCAGGAGGGACCAACGCCGAACAAACCATCGGAGCAGCGAGGACGACAAATTGCTGGGAGCCACCCGCACACCTGGTCCATTTGACCAGGGCCCCGCTGTCGCCTCCGACTTTTCGGCCCCCGCCCTCGCCTCCACCGCTCGTCTTTCCCCAAAGTTGGCCGGGATCTGGATAATGCCGCCCCTGGTTGAGCTCTACAGACCTCGAAGCCACGGAACTCTAAGGTCCTCCCCTCCTTCCTCGCGGTTCCCAGTGCAACACTCCTCACTGAACCGCGCCAGCCACCGTAGCCGAGGCGGAGGCGCACGTGTGACGTCAGTGACCCGCGCCCTTCCCAAAACGAGGGGCTGGAGCGCGATGGCGCTAACACGTCGGCCGCGGCTCTGGTCATTCCTAGTTCGGTTGTTTCTTGCGCCCCGACGAGATCTAGCGGTCCATGCTACCGACGAGCCCTTGCCAGTGGTGCGCATTCCGAGAACTTGGCAACGGCGGCAGGAACAGCGGCAGAGCCGGCGTCGGAGTCTCCCGCAGCCGGTGCTAGTGCGGCCTGGACCGCTGTTAGTCTCGGCGCGGCGCCGGGAGTTTAACCAGCCGGCGCGCCTCACTCTGAGCCAGTGGGAGTCCGCGCCGCTCGCCTCGCGTGGCTGGAGGCATCGGCGGGCCCGCGGGGACTACTTTTCCATTGAGCGAGCGCAGCAGGAGGCGCCTGCCCTGCGCAACCTTTCGTCCGGGAGAAGTTTCGCCGAGCTTGGTTTGGAGCCCCGCGTGCTGAGTGCTCTTAGGGAGGCTGCGCCGGAAGTCATTCGACCCACCACCGTGCAGGCAAGCACCATCCCTCCCTTGGTCCGCGGCCGCCACGTTCTTTGCGCCGCGGAAACGGGCAGTGGAAAGACACTCAGCTACCTCCTGCCGTTGTTTCATCGGCTCATGAGGGGGCTTGTCCTGGACTCCAGCCATATCGCCACTCCCCGCAGCCTAGTCCTTGTGCCTTCCCGAGAATTAGCCGAACAAGTGCAGGCGGTAGCGCAGCCATTGGGCAAATACTTGGGCCTGCAAGTGCAGGACCTAGAGGGAGGCCTTGGCATGCGTAGGATCAAGCTGCAACTGTCTAGAAAACCTTCAGCAGATGTGCTCGTGGCCACTCCAGGGGCTCTGTGGAAGGCTTTGAAAAGTCAACTCATCAGCCTAAAACAGCTCTCCCTCATGGTGTTGGACGAGGCAGACACACTGCTGGATGAAAGCTTCCTGGAACTGGTGGACTACATCCTGGAGAAGAGCCATGTAGCAGAAAGCCCAGCTGACTTAGAAGACCCCTTTAATCCCAAAGCTCAGCTAGTGCTGGTGGGAGCCACATTTCCTGAAGGCGTAGGCCAGTTGCTGAGTAAATTCGCCAACCCAGACTCTCTTACCACCATCACCAGCGCTAAGCTTCACTGCATCATGCCTCATGTCAAGCAGACGTTTATGAAACTGAAAGGGGCAGAGAAGGTGACAGAGTTGGTACAGATCCTCAAGAAGTATGACAAAACAGCTAAGACTCAACCATCAGGGACTGTTCTGGTGTTCTGCAACAGCTCTAGCACTGTGAACTGGCTGGGATATATTCTGGATGATCACAAAATCCGACACCTAAGGCTGCAGGGGCAAATGCCAGCCAAAATGAGAACAGGGATCTTCCAGTGCTTTCAAAAAGGCTCTCAAAACATACTTCTCTGCACAGACATAGCTTCTCGAGGCTTGGACAGCATCCATGTGGAGCTGGTCATCAATTATGATTTCCCCCTCACCCTTCAGGATTACATCCACAGAGCAGGGAGGGTAGGCCGAGTGGGGAGCGAGGTGCCAGGCACCGTTTTCAGCTTTGTGACCCATCCCTGGGATGTGAGGTTGGTTCAGAAGATTGAACTGGCAGCTCGTCGAAGGAGAAGCCTTCCAGGATTAGAATCTTCAGTGAGAGATCCTTTGCCTCAGCAAGACTGATTTTGGCTGAAATAAATGTGTTATTTCCTTGTATCCTTGGGTGGGTGAGCACATTTGTCAGAAGGAGGCATTGGACATACCTTCTTGTCTCCCTGAAGGACTGCTTTGCTGCTGTGGCTTTGACTTTTTTTTCTTCCTTTTTTTGTCGGTCATGGGGCTTGAACTCTGAGTCTGGGTGCTGTCCTTCAGCTCTTCAGCTCAAGGAAAGTACTCTACCACTTGAGCCACAGCGCCACTTCCTGCTTGTGGCTTTGAAAGGTAAGCTGCTGGCTAGCACTGGAGTGTGGTCTTTCATATGACACATAAAAAATAAAGTGGATTTTGACTTTATGATTTCTAACAAATGATAGTTTGTATGGGATTTTTTTTCAACAGAAGATTTTCATTGCACATAATATTGCAACACCAGAGGATGGGACAAAAGTTAGTAAACAGCCTGCTTAAGGAGTGAGATGGAAGCCGGGCGCTGATGGCTCACGCCTGTAATCCTAGCTACTCAGGAGGCTGAGATCTGAGGATCACGGTTCAAAGCCAGCCCGGGCAGGAGAGACCGTGAGACTCCTATCTCCAATAAACCACCAGAAAACCGAGTGGCGCTGTAGCTCAAGCGGTAGAGCGCTCGCCTTGAGCTGAAGAGCTGAGGGACAGCGCCCAGGCCCAGAGTTCAAGCCCCATGACCGACAAAAAAAAAAAAAGGAGTGAGATGGAAGTAATTGCACCAATCAAAGGATGGTGTTTGTACCAGTCAGGCTTTCCTCTTGGCCAGCAAGAGAAACACTCCTTCTCTGTTCTAGGTAAAAAAAAGGCTGGGGTTGGGGGCCAGTAGCTCATACTGATATCCTAGCTACTCAGGAGGCTGAGCTCTGGGAATCATGGTTCAAAGCCAGTGCAGGCAAGCAAGAAAGTCTGTGAGACTTCAATTAAACACCAAAAGAGCCAGAAGTGGAGCTGTGGCTCAAGTGGCAGAGCCCTGGCCTTGAGCAAAAGAAGCTCAAGGACAAAAAAAAAAAAAAAAATACACTTAGCTTGGAAACAGGACAGAAAAGGAAAAAAAAAAAAAAGAAGCTCAAGGACTGTGCCCAGGCCCTGAGTTCAAGCCTCATGATTGGAACACATAAAGGTTTTTGGTTTTTCTGGTTTTTCTTTTTTTTTTAACTTGTGTAGAGTTTAGTGCAGCTTGTGATGGCAAAAATCTAGCATAAACTGTTAGAAACAGACATGACTGGGACATTGCATTCTGGGCTTTTCTGCCTGTGCTGAACCACCATTTGCTGTCAGCCTCCTGAGTAGCTAGGATTATAGGCATGAACCCTGGTGTGTGGATTGTCATTCCCACTTTTAAAATCATTAGTGACCCACATTTTGCCTTGGAGCACCATCTTCCTAATGTCCAACACCTAGGATTGTGATGAACTTTTCCTCACATTTCTATCATGTATAAATTTAGAGTCCTAATAGGAAGCCCTACTGGCCCTACTGTTGAGTAGAATACTTGTCATCCTGGATAGCCCCATTCACTGTGTGTGTGTGTGCGCACGTGCGTGTGTGCGTGCGTGTATACACTGGTACTGGAGCTTGAATTCAGGTCCTGAACACTGTCTATTAGCTTTTTCTTTTTGCCAGTCCTGGGGCTTGAACTCAGGTCCTGAACACTGTCTATTAGCTTTTTCTTTTTTTTTTTTTTTGGTACTGGGGATCGAACCCACGACGTTGCGCTTGCTAGGCAAGCGCTTTGCCACTGAGCTACATCCCAGCCCTCTATTAGCTTTTTCTTTTTGCCAGTCCTGGGGCTTGAACTCAGGTCCTGAACACTGTCTATTAGCTTTTTCTTTTTGTCAGTCCTGGGGCTTGAACTCAAGGCCTAGGGCACTGTCCTTGAGCTTCTTTTCCTCAAGGATAACACTCTACCTGTTGAGCCAAGTGCCACTTACAGCTTTTTCTGTTTATGTGGTACTGTGGAATCAAACCCAGGGCTTCATGCATGCTAGGCAAGCACTCTACTCATAAGCCACATTCCCAGTCCTCCATTAGCTTTTTTGCTTAAGACTGGTGCTCTGCTACTTGAACTACACCTCAGCTTCTGGCTTTTTGGTGGCCAATTGGAGATAGTCTCTCTCACAAACTTTCTGTTCAGGCTGACTTCAAACTATGGGCTCCTCAGATTTCAGCCTTCTGCTAGGATTACAGGCACAAATCACTGGCATCTACCTCCTTTTCACTGCTTAGAATGTCATTTAAATAAAGATGGGGGTGGGGGACTGGGAAGGTTGCTCAGTTGTAGAGCACTTGTCTTGCATGCATGAGGCCCTGGGTTTGATTCTTCAGCACCACATAAGTAGAAAATGGCAGAAGTGGCGCTGTGGCTCAAGTGGTAGAGTGCTAGCCTTGAGCTGAAGAGCTTAGGGACAGGGCCCAGGACCAGAGTTCAGGCCCCATGACCAGCAAAAAAAAATAAAGATGAGGGGTCTATGAATTTACACTCAGCACAACAAAGTCAAAAAGAGCCTGTCTCTACTTTGATTCTTCCCAACTGGAATGTGTTCCTTTTTCACCTGTCCAGCTCTCACTTATCCTTCAGGCCACTCTTTTTTTTTCCTTTGTCGGTCGTGGGGCTTGAACTCTGGGCCTGGGCGCTGTCCCTTAGCTCTTCAGCTCAAGGCTAGCACTCTACCACTTGAGCCACAGCGCCACTTCCGGCTTTTTTCTGTTTGCTTATGTGGTGCTGAGGAATCGAACCCAGGGTCTTGAGCATGCAAGGCAAGCGCTCTACCACTGAGCCACCTTCCCAGCCCCTAGGATGCTGAGATCTTGAGGATCCCTGTTCAAAGCCAACCAGGATAGGAAAGTCAATGAGACTCTTATCTCCAATTAACCACCAAAAAGCTGTAAGTGGAGCAGTGGCTCAAGTGGTAAGGCACCAGCCTTGAGAGAAAAAAAAAAAGCTAAAGGACAATCAATGTCCAGGCCCTGAATTTAGGCCCCAGTACTGATACCAAAAAAAAAGGATACTGGGACTGCAGCAGTGGGTGTGAAGATATCACAGAAGAATGAGAGCATTCCTTGTGGCCTCTGGGCCCACTGGATACTTTGTTGGCTGTGAAGGCTTGCAGAGCACCACCACAGCAGCACCTACCCAAGTCAACCCCTGGCTTTTCCCCCTAGTTCTGGTCAGCCTACGTCCCCTGCCAGACTCAGGACCAGGATGCTGTGCGCCTCACCCTGGAGCAGATTGATCTCATTCATCGTATGTGTGCCAACTACTCTGAGCTGGAGCTTGTGACTTCAGTTAAAGGTGGGTGAACTGGTGCTAGATATCAGGGACTTGATAGATCGATTCTAGCTCCTGAAAGTAATCACTTGTCCTATTGGCCCCCCAGCTCTGAACAGCACCCAGAAATTGGCCTGTCTCATTGGCGTAGAGGGTGGCCACTCACTTGATAGTAGTCTGTCTGTGCTACGCAGTTTCTATATGCTGGGAGTACGCTACCTGACGCTCACTCATACCTGCAACACACCTTGGTGAGTACAGGCCAGATGGTGTGGGCCCACTGAGGCAGGAATCTGACCAAGATCACAGTATAGGCCCAGATCAATCTTTACCTCTAGGGACTGGCATTGGCTTTTGGAATGGAAGGGGAGCTGGTATTCATAGGAAAAGACTGGATCCCAGCACAGAACTCCTCTCTCTGGCTGGCACAGTCTATCCTGGTTTCTTGAGTTTGCTCCAGGGAATTACAGGGATAGAAAGATTTGTTGTTGGTGGAGGTGATTGTGGTGGTGGTGGTAGTATGTGTGTATGTGTGTGTATACATTCACCTGCTGGTATTGGGACTTGAACTCAGGATCTGGGCACTGTCTCTTAGCTTTTTTTGTTGTTGTTGGTTGTGGAACTTGAACTCAGCCTGGGCGCTATCACTCAGCTCTTCAGCTCAAGGCAAGCACTCTACCACTTGAGCCACAGTGCCACTTCTGGTTTTCTGGTGGTTTATTGGACATAAGAGTCTCCACAGACTTTCCTGTCCAGGCTGGCTTTGAATCGTGATCCTCAGATCTCAGATACTCCTAAGTACTAGGATTATAGGCGAGAGCCACTGGCACCAGCCTCTTAGCTTTTTTGCTGATATTCTACCACTTGAGCTACTTATGGCTCCACTTATGGCTTTTTTGGGGGGAGGGAGAGGTTGTGGGACCTGAAATCTGGGCCTGGGTGCTGTCCCTCAGCTTTTCAGCTCAAGGCTAGCACTCTACCACTTGAGCCACAGCACCACTTCCGGCTTTTTTTCTTTTTTTTGCTTATGTGGTGCTGAGGAATCGAACCCAGGGCCTCATGCATGCAAGGCAAGCACTCTACCACTGAGCCACCTTCCCAGCCCCCCCTCCTTTTTTGTGCTCAACTAGAGATAAGTCTAACAGACTTTCCTACTTGGGCTGGCTTCAAACCACAACCATTAGATCTCAGCCGCCTGATGTGAGCCACAGGTGCCCAATCGGGGTAGAAGTTTCAGTAGAGGCTTTTAGGCTCTTGTGGCCAAGAATAGCCACCAGTCAGACCTGTTTTCTGGCCATTCTGCAGGGCAGAGAGCTCATCAAAGAATGTCCACCCATTCTACAGCAATGTCAGTGGACTGACCAGCTTTGGTGAGGTGAGGACCGTGGTTTAGTACTCCAGCCCATGCCTTACCTTTCCCCATAGATAAATGGGAGGGGGCACATGGACACCCCTGACATTCTCCTCCCAATCTGTCCCTGCAGAAGGTGGTAGCTGAAATGAATCGCCTGGGCATGATGGTAGATTTGTCCCATGGCTCAGATGCTGTAGCACAACGGGCCTTGGAAGTGTCACAAGCACCTGTGATCTTCTCTCACTCGGCTGCCCGGGGTGTGTGTGAGAATGCTCGAAATGTTCCTGATGACATCTTGCAGCGTCTGGTGAGAAATTACCCAGCCTTGGGAACTAAAGGAAAAACTTCACAAGACCTTGAACTTCTCCACCCCCCCCCACCCCCTGCACAGGGCTGGGAAGGTGGCTCAGTGGTAGAGTGCTTGCCTTGCATGCATGAGGCCCTGGGTTTGATTCCTCAGCACCACATAAGCAGAAAAAGCCAGCAGTGGCACTATGGCTCAAGTGGTAGAGTGCTAGCCTTGAGCTGAAAAGCTGAGGACAGCGCCCAGGCCCAGAGTTCAGACCCCACAGCAGACCAAAAAAAGAAAAAAAATTGGGCCCCTGTTTCCTCAATCTGCTGAAAACCTAGGCTGAGCATCTTCTCTCCGTATCCGCTGAAGTCTTAAATATGTGTCGGACTAGAGATTCTAGATGGTAAATATTCTCCTATTTCTCAAACCCTGAGCCAAGATACCTCCACCCAACCCAGACTTGAGATTCCTCCACTCACACAAAATCAGAGAGGTACAGTCTCCTGTGGCTCATAAAGTTAGGGATCAGCAGCTTTCTCATTGGGGCCCAAGGGGTGGGCAGGAACATGCTTGTGCTGGGGGCCAAGCTGAGCATGTGCCTGACTATCCTTGCAGAAGAATAACGGTGGCATCGTGATGGTATCCTTATCTGTAGGGGTGCTGCAGTGCAACAAATTAGCCAACGTGTCCACAGTGGCAGGTGAGCCTCCCCCTGTCCTCCCCTCCCCTACCAACCCCCCCCCCCGCCCGTGCTTTCTAAGAAGCTCTGCTTTGGACCTGAAGTCTTTGGAGCATATCAGCACAGCTTCAGTGATGATTTAGCTATGGTGGAATGATAGTTACAGAGTCTACATTGTCCTGCTGGTGAGTAAAAGGGAGGTGATCGGACATAAAGCTGAGTGCTACACACCTGTGCTTTGGTCAGGACTACCAAAGCCTTGGGGGCCCTGTCTCTACCTTAGGTCTGTGAAGTCTTTATCAGCTCTATTCTTTGTTCCTTTCTTATCTTCCACATCTCCAGAAAGAAGCCTCCACCAGGTTCTCAAGGAGTCTGGAGGCCGGGTGGATCTGGATGGGAAATGGCACCAATGGGTGACTGTCTAAATGGCTTCATTCCAAACTTAAAGTCTAGTATAGAGACAGGTGAGATCTGTCCCTGTCAAACCTCAGGACCTTCAGGTGGCCACACAAAGTGTCAGGTAACCAAGGATTGGTCTTCATGGCCTTATCAGCTGCAAGAATGGAAGATCATCAGAGTGTAGGTTCAGAAGGGTAACCCTACCCCTAGAAGCCTCACACTGCTGACTCCCCATCTCCCCAGATCACTTTGACCACATCAAGGCAGTCATTGGATCCAAATTCATCGGGATTGGTGGAGATTATGATGGCACCAGCCAGTGAGTACTTCCTGTGGTTTGGGGCTGCTGGAGAGTAATGGGGCCCTGGTCACCATGCTCCCCAGCATGTTCCCCCATTGCGTTTAGGCATTGCCCACCTTGCACTTCCTAGATCCCTGGATATGCTTCCTGGGTTAGTCTTCAGCCTTCAGCCTCCTGGTCCTAAAGGCCAGAGAGGCCCTTATTTGTCTGAGCCACCAGAGAGCTCATCTACCTGCACAAGCACATAAACCCAGTCCCAGCAGATCTACTTACTCTTTATGAACAGGCATCCAAGTTGGGTGTGGGCTGGCTATCATCTCTGCCCAATTCTAGTCAGTTGTTGCTGTTTATTTATTTTAATTTAATTTTTTTGGTTGATCATGAGGCTTGATCTAAGGGGCTAGATACCAACCCTGAGCTTTTGTGTTCAAGGCTAGTGCTCCACTACTTTGAGCCACAGCTACACATCTGAATTTCTGGTAGTTAATTGAAGATAAGAGTCCTATGAACTTTCTTGCCTGGGCTGGCTTCTAACTGCAGTCCTCAGATATCAGCCTCCTGTGTAGCTAGGATTACAGGCATGTGCTATCAGTGCCAACCTCAGTAATCATTATTCATTCATTCATTTGCAGTACTGGGGATTGAACCTAGGGCTTTGTGCATGTTAGACAAGCACTTGACCACTGGTAGCCCACTTCTCTACCCAATTCTAAGGAAGCTTTTTCTTTCTTGTTTCTTTAGGAATTTTGTTGTTGTTATTTTGCAGTTCCGAGGATCAAACTCAGTGTCTTACACATACTAAACAAGAACTCTCTCACTGAACTACTTCAGACCTCTTTTTATTCTTTTTCTTTTAGCAGTATTGAAGTTTGAACTCAAGACATCACACTTGCTAGGCAGGTGCTCTACTGCTGAGCCACATCTCTAGTCCTTTTTTGTGTTAGTTATTTTTGAGATATGGTCTTCCTGCTCAGGCAAGCGCCTGGACCACAGTCCGCCTATTTAATATTTCTTTTTCTTTTTTTTTTTTTTGCTAATACTGGGGCTTGACCTCAGGGCCTGCCCACTGTACCTTAGCTTTTTGTTCAAGGCTGAAGCTGTATCACTCTTGAGTCATAGCTCCCCTTATGGCTTTTTGCTGGTTAACTGGATATAACAATCTCACAGACTTATTCACCTACACTGACTTCAAACCTTGATCTTGGATCTAGGCCTCCTGAGTAGCTAGGACTACAGGTGTGAGCTACCAGTATCCAGCTAATACTCAACTTTTTATTAGTTGAGATTGGGTCTGATGAACTTTTTGCCTCGGGTTACTTCAAATCATGATCTTCCCAATTTCAGCCTCCTGTATAGCTAAGATTATAAGCATGATACACCACCATACCCAGCATGTGTGTGTTTTTTTAAAGAGGAAACATTTAATTTCAGTGGAAGATATAGATCTTAACAGTACAGTTTAACTAGGTGCCAGTGCATCACGTTATAATCTAGCTATGCAGGAAGCTGATTCTTAAAGATGGAGGTTCACAGCCAGACCTGGCAGACAATTCCAGGAGACCTATCTCCAATTAATTAGGCATGGCTTAAATGGTAAGAACACAAGCTATGAGCAAAAAAGCTGAGCAAGAGTGCAAGGCCCTGAGTTCAAGTCCCAGTCCCAGTACCACACACACACACACACACACACACACACACACACACACACACACAAATGAATTTTGGCAAATATTCAAGGAAGTTTTGAGGCCTCCTCTGGATGAGGCACAAGAAGGAGTGAATCACGTTTCACATCTGCCCAGGGTTGGGGTACAGAGTCCCAGAATTGGATTCTGTGTTGGGATCAGGGTGCCAGGTCTGAGATTTTCTTAATGGTGGCCACACAGGTTCCCTCAGGGGTTGGAGGACGTGTCCACATACCCAGTGCTGATAGAGGAGTTGCTGCGCCGGGGCTGGAGTGAGGAAGAGCTTCAAGGAGTCCTTCGAGGAAATCTGCTGCGGGTCTTCAGACAAGTGGAGCAGGTACACAGGGCCGGGGCAAGAGAGTGGCACAGGGGTCCAAGCAGGTGCCTCAAGGGGGAGCTATGGGAGCTGCTGACAATCCATCTCCATTTTAGGTACGGGATGAAAAGCAGTGGCAAAGTCCTTTGGAGGACGTATTCCCAGAAGAACAGCTGGGCAGTCTGTGCCGTTCCATCCTCCAGCGTCAGCCTCTGAGACATCTGGTCTCAGACCAGAAAGTAACTGAGATCCCTGTCCATTGGACACCCAAGTTGTCACCAAGGTGGTTATTTTCAAAGTCCCCCCACACAGTCCCAAGCTCTACTGTTGTTGCCATGTTTGTTGTTGCCATATTTCCAGGCCTTATTTTGTGGCTCTGGTGACCTAGTTTGCCCTGATAGATGTCACTCTGGCCCCTTGATCCCTATGAAGCTCCCCACTTGTGCAGGCACAAATAAATCTTTTGGACATGGAACCAGATATGAGTCAATGCAGTGGTTGATGGGGGAATCTAGATTTCAGCTACTATTTGCTCAAGGATTGACTAGGCCTGAGGTAGCCCGGGGGTTGAGCTATATATACTGGACAAGCACTATTCAGAAGGATCCCAAATTACCTTTTTTTTTTTTTTTTGCCAGTACTGGGGCCTGAACTCAAGGGCTAGGCACTGTCCCTGAATTTCTTTTGCTCAAGGCTAGCACTTGTGACAACTTGAGTCACAGCACCACTTCCAGTTTCCTGGTAGTTCATTGGAGATAAGAGTCTCATGGATTTTCTTGGCTGGGTAGTGGATCCTCAGATCTCAGCCTCCTGAGTAACTAGGATTAAAGGCATGAGCCACTGGTACTCGGCATGGCTTTTACATTTTAGTGGTACTGAGGAATCGAACCCAGGGCTTCGTGCATGCTAGGTAAACTCTCTACCACTAAGCCACATTCCCAGCCTTACAATAGCTGTAATCCTAACTACTCAGTAGTCAGGCACCATGCATAGTAACTCAACTTGTAATCTTGGCTACTCAAGACACTAAGATCAGGAGGATCATGGTTCCAGGCCAGCCTGGGCAAAGAGTTTGCAAGATCCCATCTTAACTAATAAAGTTGGGTACAATGGTATGTAACTGTCTGTTATCTCAGCTATATGGAAACAAGTAGGAGGATCTCTTGTTCCAAACAGGCTATCCTGTGCAGAAAGTGAGACCTTATCTAAAAATTAACCAGAAAAACTCATGTCTAAGGGACATGACACAAAGATAAAGGGCCTTCTAGAAAGTACAAGGCCCTAAATTCAAAACCCTCAATACCACTTGTAATTCTGTCAGCCTCCCAAGTAACTGGGACTTCATACATTTAACACTAAACCCAGTGTGTGATATTTAAAAAACAAAAAAAGGGCTGGGAATATGGCTTCGTGGTAGAGTGCTTGCCTAGCATGCCTGAAGCCTTGGGTTTGATGTCTCAGTACCATATAAACAGAAAAAGCCAGAAGTGGCCCTGTGGCTCAACTGGTAGAGTTCAAGACCCAGGACTGACAAAACAAAACAAAACAAGGTGGGGGCTGGGACTATGGCTTAATGGTAGAGTGCTGGCCTAGCATGCATGAAGCCCTGGGTTCGATTCCTCAGTACCATAGAAGCAGAAAAAGCCAGAAAGTGCTGTCGTGGCTCAAGTGGTAGAGTGTAAGCCTTGAGTACAGAAAGGCTCAGGGACAGTGCCCAGGCCCTGAGTTCAAGCTGCAGGACTGGTCAACAACAACAACAGCAATGAAAATAAAACAAGAACATTACTAGTAACAGTGGCATCTTAAAAGAAGTTTCACAGCTGGGCACTAGTAGCTTATTCCTGTAATCCTAGCTACTCAAAAGGCTGAGATCTGAGAATTATGGTTCAAAGCTAGACGGGGCAGGAAAGTCTGTGAGACTCCTATCTCCAATAAACACCAGAAAACCAGAAGTGGAGTTGTGGCTTAAAGTGGTAGAGTGCTATCCTTGAGCAAAAGAGCTCAGAAACAGCTCCAGGCCCTGAATTCAAGCCCCACACCCCTCCTCCCCCCAAAAAAATGTTTCATTAAACTCAAGTGGATTTTTGTTTGTTTGAATTTTCTAGTTCTGGTCCTGGGGTTTGAGCTCAGTGTCTGGTCACTGTCCCTGAGCATGTGTGTGTGTGCGCGTGTGCGCGTGTGCGTGTGTGTGTGTGTGTGTGTGTCAGTCATGGGGGTTGAACTCTGGACCTGGGCGCTGTCCCTCAGCTCTTCAGCTCAAGGCTAGTGCTCTACCTCTTGGCCACAGTGACACTTCCAGTTTTCTGAGTGGTTTATTGGAGTCTTACAGATTTTCCTGCCTAGGCTGGCTTTGAACTGTGATCCTTAGATCTCAGCCTCTTGAGTAGCTAGGATTAGAAGCGTGAGCCAGCTTGTCCCTCAGCTTTTTATCTCAAGGCTAGTAGTCTACCACTTGAACCACAGTTCCACTTTGGCTTTTCAGTGGTTATTGAAGAGTCTCAAGGACTTTCCTGCCTAGGCTGGATTTGAACTATAATCCTCAGATCTCAGCCTCCTGAGTAGCTAGGATTACAGGTGTGGGCCTCTGGTGTCAGGATTTGGGCTGGCTTTGAACTGCAATCCTCAGATCTCAGCTGCAGAGTAACTAGGATTATAGGATTATAGGCTTGAGCCACTGCTGCCCAGCATAAAATTGAAGTCATTTTTACCTAAGGAGGTGAAAGTGTATCTCAGTGATAGACTGTTCAGCACTAATGAAGTCCTCGATTTAATCCCAGCATTGTAAAAAAAAAACACAGCAAACAAACAAAAAAACAATTTGTTGAGTGCCAGTAGAGCTGATGGAGGACTTGAGTTAAAACCCAGTAGGGGGGAGGGGAGTAGGAAGGAATTGTTTATACACAGTCTAGAAAGGCCCAAAGTTGATATTAAGGTAAAAGATAATAAAGATAAAAAAGACAATAGATCCAGAAACCTGCCTGCCCACCTGGGCAGCAAAACAACCAAGCGTCGACCCAATTGACACTAGCTAGTGGGTGACAGTAGGAAGATTAAGGGGCCACCACCTGCTTGCTCCCCACTAGCCTCCTCCCACGGTGGTTGGTACAGGGATCCAGGCTGGGCGATACAACAAAGTAGGTAGGAGCCAAAAGCAATGAGGAAAAGAGGGTGGGACCGGGCTGAGGTGGGGGGAGGGGGAGGGAGGGAGGATGGGAGGAGCCTGATGGGGGCGGGGTGAACATGGGGGGAGGCGCCTACCGCCCCACGCGCGTGCGCGCATGCCGCTTATAGACACGCTCTGCGCGCCGACTCCCGCCAGGCGCTGGGAGGCGCTGTCCAACGAGAGGGCGGGCGGGAAGCCGTGACGCCCCCTGGCGGCTGCGCTCTGCGGCGTGGAAGGTTCCCGCGCGTCGGTTGTGGAGGTAGCGAAGTAGCGCCACTGTGAGCTGCTGTGAGCAAGCCTTCGTCCTGGGGCACCAGTATCCACAGGCGAGACCCTGCCACTACCCTCCGCCCTTCACCCACACCTCTCAGGCCTTCGCGACGGTCACCCGTGTCCGTCTGTCTGTCCTTGCGCAGCATGCAGCCCGCTGGCCGCCGGGGTCCTCTCGCGCTAGGCGGGCGGCCTCCGCGGTACGGCCTGTTCTTGTTCCTGCTCCTGCAGCTGCTGCCGTCGCCCCCGGCAACCCGTGTCCACACCATGCCGCTGGCCAGCTCCAGCGCCCCGACCCTGATGGGCATCCCCAGCAACCTGGCCACAATGGGCGCCTCCAGTGCCCCGGCAACGATGGTCACCTCTAGCGCCCCGACCCTGACGGGCACCTCCCGCACGCCCACTCTACGGGAGCGCGCTCGGGCCCTGATGCAGGACTTCCCGCTTGTGGACGGGTTCGTAGATGCCAAGTAGGGCGGGGTGGCGTGAATGGCTACCCTATGGAAACCTCTGGGCCAGGGAGGGTTCACAGCGTGAGAGGTTAGCAAGGAATCCCCTATACCACCCATGGTGCCCCCCCCCACTACCTCATTGCTGATGGGACCTACTCCCCACCCCCCCCAACCCAGCCTCAGCGGTCTGCACATTGCCTGCATGACCATGTGGAGTTGGGGAGGAGAGGCACAGGCGTGTTGATATGACCTTTCCTCACGGCCGTGTTCCCACTCTTTGTCTTGACACCCCTAGGCACAACGACCTGCCTTTGCTTCTGAGACAGTTTTTCCAGAACAAGCTGCAGAATGTGAATCTGTACAATTTCAGCCTGGGTCAGACCAACCTGGACAGGCTTAGTGATGGCCTTGTGGGTGCTCAGGTACCACAGAGACACCCTAGATACCACAGCATGATGGGAGATGGATGTGGGGATGGGGGAACCATAGAAACCTGGCTAGGCCAACCTCCAAGTGAAGGGGGAGGTACCATGGGGTATTCAGTGTGCCATCATGAAGTATTCAGGAGTGTGTGTGTGTGTGTGCGTCATTGGTGATCCAGACAGTTGAGCTGCATGGATGTCAGGGATTCTGTGGAGACATAGAAAATGACCAGAAAATCCCTGGTGAGTATATGAATGACTAGAACCACAAAGGTTATGTTCGGTTGGCCTGGTGTATTCACAGAGGACATGACTATAATCTGTAGTCCAAGATGTGTCCAGAGTCTAGTTTGCCTACATGTTTGCACTGAGGACTCATGCCTGTAATCCTGCTCAGGAACCTGAGATCTGAGGATTATGGTTCAAAGCCATCCCAGGCAGAAACACCCATGAGACTCTTATCTCCAATTAACCAACAAAAAGCTGGAAGTAGAGCTATGATTCAAGTGGTAGAATGCCAGCCTTAAGCAAAAAATAAAAAAATTCAGTCAGTGCTCTGAGATATATATATATATATATATATCTCAAGCAGGGTGCCTGTGGCTCACACCTGTAATCCTAGCTACTCAGGAGGCTGAGATCTGAGGATCGTGATCAAAGCCAGACTAGGCAGGAAAGTCCGTGAGACTCTTATTTTCAATTAACCACCAGAAAACTGGAAGTGGTCCTGTGACTCCAAGGGTAGAGTGCTCTCCTTGAGCTGAAGAGCTGTGGGACAGTGTCCAAGCCCAGAGTTCAAGCCCCACAACCGACAAAATAAATAAATAAATCATGGGGTGATACAATATTCATTTGGGCCCTACTAATCCAAATGGTTGCTGTGGGGGTAAGTCAGGAGTGGCAGAGCTACAGGATTGGACACTACCTAAACTACATTCTGAACCTCTTGACCTATCTCTAGTTCTGGTCAGCCTACGTGCCATGTGAGACCCAGGACCGGGATGCTGTGCGCCTCACACTGGAGCAGATTGACCTCATTCGCCGCATGTGTGCTGCCTATTCTGAGCTGGAGCTTGTGACCACCGCAGAAGGTGAGATGCTGGCTGAGGAGATAGTCCAGGGTTCATTCATGAGTTCTGTTGCTGGGCTCTCTGACCACTTGATTGTTCACCCTCTTCAGGTCTGAACAGTACTCAAAAGCTGGCCTGTCTTATTGGTGTGGAGGGTGGTCACTCACTGGATAGCAGCCTCTCTGTGCTTCGAAGTTTCTATCTGCTGGGAGTACGCTACCTGATGCTCACCTTCACCTGCAGCACACCCTGGTGAGTTCAGAACCATCAAGGATAGAATGGCAGACAGTGTAGCAGGGAAACTGCCTTCTCTGGGATGGGCCTGACCAGTGAGCTGAGAATTAAGTGGGGTCCACAGAGGGAGGCTGGACACTCTCTCTATATACCCTGATAGCTATCACTGGATCCTCACCTGTTTTAGAGGTGAGATGGATGGACAGGGGGCCCAGTCACTGATGACCAAGGTGCGGCCAGCTACATTGTCCTCTCCTGGCTGTCTTGCAGGGCGGAGAGTTCTACCAAATTCAGACACCACTTGTATACCAATGTCAGCGGGTTGACAAACTTTGGTGAGGTGAGGACTTCTGTTCCATACTCAACCCCACCTGTTCACTATAGTTATGAACATACACCTGAGCCCCCCTCCAAAAATAAAATTGTCCCTGCAGAAAGTGGTGGAGGAAATGAACCGTTTGGGAATGATGATAGACTTGTCCTATGCCTCGGACACCTTAGTGAGGCGGACCCTGGAGGTGTCACAGGCTCCTGTGATCTTCTCCCACTCAGCTGCCAGAGCTGTGTGCAACAATACATTGAATGTTCCTGATGATATCCTGCAGCTTCTGGTAAGTAACCACCCCATATCTCAAATCCAAGGTTAGATATGCCTCATTAAAAAATTCTTGGGTTGGGCACTGGTGGCTCATACCTGTAACCCTAGCTACTCAGGAGGCTGAGATCTGAGGATCGTGATTCAAAGCCAACTTGGTCAGGAAATCCTATGAGACTTATCTGTATTTAACCACCAGAAAACCAGAAGTAGAGCTGTGGCTCAAAGTAGTGGAGCACTAGCCTACAGCAAAAGAGCTCAGGTACAGCAACCAGGCCCTGAGTTCAAGCTCCACAATTGACCAAAAAAAAAAAAAAAGATTCTTGACCCTGAACAAAGAAAGTTGCTAGTTCATGTCTCACACATGCTTGGACACTCTTCCGTTTCTAAAACTGAAGGCCAAATCCGTTTCACTCAGAGACCCACAAACCCAGTAAGGAAGCCTCTTCTAGTCTATGAAGCCAGCATGAAATTCCTGTCCTGTTAGGGTTGCCACAGCAAGGTGCACTGGCAGGCCAGAAAGGCTGACCTGACCTGAGTGCCCTTGGGTCTTATTCCTATAGAAGAAGAATGGTGGCATCGTGATGGTGACACTGTCGATGGGGATTCTGCAGTGTGACCTGCTTAGCAACCTGTCAACTGTGGCAGGTAAGCCCCACCTCAGCTCTTTTCCTAGCTCTGTCTTGGGTTTTGGTCACTGGGACCTTCGGGGACAGTTCCAGTAGTTCAGCACATAGGGGCAACTGCAAACCTCCCTACAATCCTGGGGCAGCAGACTCAGCGTTTCATTTCCTCACAAAGGAACCAAGTGTGTGTTCTTCTCTGCCTCTGGGTTTTTGTTTTCCCTCCTATTCCTTGAACCTTTCTCATTCCCCACATCTCTGGGCCAGACAGGCAGAGAGGCTCTAGATGCAGGTTCAGCCCCAGTATTCTATCTTAGCTACTTTAGGACTTGAGGGTACCCTGCGGAGTCAGCTGACATGGTCTAGTGCTAGGTCTTAGACACTGGCTCCAGCTAGGTCTAGGGTCTGATTCCAAGCCTTCTGCTGTCTGCCATCAACCTCCATCTTCTAGATCATTTTGACCACATCAGGGCGGTCATTGGATCCGAATTCATTGGGATTGGTGGAAATTATGATGGATCTGGCCGGTAAGTGTTTCCCCCAGGGACTCATCTTGGCTGAGTTACAGCAAAGGTTCTTTCAGTCTTAGTTATACATCCCAGCGTTTTCCCATCAGTTAGGCCTTGACCACAGGCTCTGATCTTGCAGTGCACTGCCCAGGTCCTATTGCCTCGGTTTTCCCTGTCATTTCTGTGGCACAGTGGACCCAAGTCAGCACACTCGCTCAAGTACTCCCCTCCCCAAGGGAGCTCAATTCATGCCCAGCAGATCTGCTGTGGACTGGACATCTGCTCAGTCCTTAAAGGGCTTCCCAGGTGGACACTGACCTTCAATTTAAGTCAAATGCATTGTTGCTAGGCAGGAGGCCCTAGATGAGGAACAGGGCCAAGGTCCCACACTTGCCTGGTGTGGCCACACAGGTTCCCTCAGGGGCTGGAAGATGTGTCCACATACCCAGTGCTGATAGAGGAGTTGCTGCGCCGGGGCTGGAGTGAGGAAGAGCTTCAAGGAGTCCTTCGAGGAAATCTGCTGCGGGTCTTCAGACAAGTGGAGCAGGTAAACAGGGCTGGCACAAAGGATGATTGGTTCAATGGTTTGAGCAGACAGGGGTAGCTGTGGTGTGTCTCACTGCTGACTCTCACTTCCAGGTGAGAGATGAAAGCAGTGGGAAGAGCCCTGTGGAGGCCCAGATTCCAGACAGGCAGCTCAGCAGCACCTGCCACTCCCACCTCCAGCCTCCATTGCCCAATAAGCACCAGGGTTCGCACCTGAAGGTGACCAAGAGGCCATTCAATCAGGACCTCTGGAAATCCTCCAAGTGCCCACCGGGCCCCATGCCAGGCCTTGTGGCTGCTGTTATCTCCCCAGTCCTCATCCTCTGTCTCTGGTGACGGTCAGTCTCTCCAGAAGTCACTGTGGCAAGTCCCACAAAGTCCGCCCGACCCCAGGTATCCAGACTGCAGAATATGGTTAGAATAAATATTTGAGGCATGGAACCAAGCGTGTGGCCTTTCTTCTTTGTGGTGCTCTTCGTTAGAATGGGTCCTGCAGCCTAGGGCCAGTTGCCGAAAGAGCCATGATGGAGTCAAGAACACCAGGAGGAAACCAAGGCTTTCTCTTCAGAGGAGGGGGCTCCTCCCCTGGCCCACATGGGAGAACAGTGAGCAGGGGAGAGGCGGGTTGGAGGGCAGCTGAAGGTGGTGTGAGGAGCAGGAAGTCAGGCTGACTGGTGTCACCAACCCTGGGTGCTGGAGGAGGGGTCAGGTAGCAGTTGGTTGGGGTTACCTAACTGTGAGCTGGCTGACCTCTCTTCCCAGAGCTGGAAGCGAGGAGGTGGAGGCAGTTCAAGCATGGAGTCTGAGGCTCAGTCCAAGTTGTAAAGGCAGGAAAGGGAGAACGGAGAAAGACAAGTAAGATGGCCTCTGGGGTTTTCTGATAAAGGACTTGGAGAGAAAGGACGGTGCAGAAAGATAAAGATGCTAAAGTCTACAGGATGTTATCTGAAGCTGTGGAGCACTGAGTGAAAGAACTTGGGAGCAAATAAGTAAATGGCAGGAAAAAAAAAAGAATTCAAATGAAAAACCTTGTCTGATCACCCAGTGTTCTGCCCCGAAGTGGTAAACGCGGACAGGGGAGGCCGTAGCCTCCCCAGGGCCTCCGGCTTGCAGCTGCCTCCAACCAGGGAGGCTGCAGAGACGGAGAGCTGGGCAGGCGTGGCACCACCGTCCGGCTTCGCTCTACCGTCGCTCAGACGCCGGGTGAAAATGAGGAAGGTGTTATCTTGTGGTGACTTTGGGCCAGACGGAGGTAGCCGCGACGGTCCTGGGTCAGTCCTGCCCACCCCTCTCGCCCAGGAAGTAACTACAGGCATCCCAGGGCTTACTAGGTCCAGAGATCCGAGCCCATTCACCCCCACTCCATGCACCCCCATGTCCCAGTGTCAAGAAGTGATGCATCTGGAGCTCAGAGAGGGCAGTCCCTCACCCGACCGTCACACAGGAACAGGCCCAGTCGCAGGGCCTCCTTTAAGGGGTCTCTTCTCACTTCGGGGACTTCTCCGGCTTTTAGGGGGGTCCTCTGGACGGCCGGTCCCTCTCGGGGAGGATCCGGCCGGAGCCCCTCCTGCTCCCCGCCCCCGAGGGGCGGCCCGGGGGGCGGGCGGAGGAAGTGAGCGCAGCGGGGAGGAATGCGAGCGGGCGGGGCGCTCCGACCCCGGGCTGCGGGCACAGCCGGCGAGCGGCCGGGACGGCGAGCGGGCGCGCGCGATGCCGCACTTCACCGTGGTGCCGGTGGATGGGCCGCAGCGTGGCGACTATGACAACCTCGAGGGGCTCAGCTGGGTGGACTACGGGGAGCGCGCCGAGCGGGAGGACTCGGACGGTGAGGGCGGGCCCGGCGCGGGGGGGGGGTGTCTGGGCCCGGCGGGGCGGGTGGGGAGGGCGCATCCCTCCCGGGACCCACTGCCGCACGCACGGCCGGACCTGGCGCGCACACGTCGGTGCGGGCTCAACTTTCTTCCACGCTCTGCGCCGCCCGCTGCTCCCCGCCCGGCGCGTGCACCACGGGTTTCCCCTGGGCCCCGGGGAGCCCGGGCGCCGGGGCTGGGCCGCTCTGCTCGCCCCAGCTCCTCCCCTGCGGGCTGCGGGCGGGGGCTGCAGACGTGGCCGCCCGGGGAAGCCAGCCAGCGGGCTGCCTGGCAGGAGTCGGAGCCCGAGACCGCAGCCGCGGCGCTTCTCCATCCTCTTGTGGCTTCATCTTCCCTTTGGGGAGGCTTTCCACCCCCTGCCCCCCGCCCCCCGCCCCTGCAGGAGGGAAAGGGGTGCGCCCATCACGGGACCCCCCCCCGGTTGTGGATGTGTAGGTTCAGTGGACGTCTGGGGAGCAGTCGCACGGGGCCAGGCTTGTCGAGGCATTTTACGTGAATCAACTCGTTTAATCCTTTCTAACCTCCCTCTCGGGAGAGATGCTGTTACTCGCACTCGGGAGGGAATGAAGGGAAGGTGGTTATGTAACTTTCCTCTGGTGGGATTCAAACCCGGATGTGATATTCCGGCGCCTTAATTCTTTAAAAATACACACACGCACGCACATCACACTTTTTACTCGCGTACATTAGTTGTACTAGAGAGTTTAACCCTGATACTCCACACATATGTACACAGTGCCTCATCCACCAACCCCCTCCATCGCTCTCCTTTATTCCCCCCACTTTTGGCATCTTAATTCATTCTTTCTTCTTTTCTTTTCTCTTGATCCTGGTATTAGGATTTGAATTTAGAGCCTCTCATTTGCTTGATGGGCACACTTATCGTTTGAACTACACTCTCAGTCCAACTTTTTGCTGGTTATTCTAGAGATGGAGTCTCACAGACTTTAATACCCCGACTGGCTTCCAAATGGGATCCTTCAGAATTCAGCCTCCAGATTAGCTACAAGCCTCTTATGCTCTGTGGTAGTGCCTTAGTTCTTCACCTACTTGTTAGGACCGGGCCTGGCAATGATCCCTTCCTCCCTTCTTAGAGGTGCACACCTCCCTGGAAGCTCCTTTCTCCAGTGCCTATCCCACGTGGCTCCCTATTCCCCTGGGCTATACACACTGGCGCCCAGCTTGGAGTGTGACAGTGTTGGGAACATGTGTCTGTGTGTGTATCAGTGCAAGTATGTAGCTGAGGGGATCAAGGTCCAGATAGGGCATCCTCACGGTGACTTTCTTGGAGATTTTTCAGTAAGGAAGATGGTGATATGACCGATGACAAATGCCAGTGACATATGGGACTGACAATAATGGAGGCATGCAGGGATGTGGCTCATTGGCAAAGCGCTTGCCTAGCAATGTCCTAGGTTCAGTCCTCAATACCAAAAAAGAAAAAAAAAGGGGCTGGGAAGGTGGCTCAGTGGTAGAGTGCTTGCCTTGCATGCATGAGGCCCTGGGTTCAATTCCTCAGTACCACATAAGCAAAAAGAAAAAAGCCAGAAGTAGTGCTATGGCTCAAGTGGTAGAGCGCTAGCCTTGAGCTGAAGAGCTGAGGGTCAGTGCCCAGGCCCAGAGTTCAGGTCCCATGACCAACAACAGCAACAACAACAACAATGAAAGAAAGGAAGAAAGAAAGAAGAGAGTAATGGAGACATGTAGGAAATGTGTCAGGTAATGGGGTTTTTTGTTTTGTTTTTTTGTTTGCTTGTTTGTTTTGGGTCCGGTCATGGGGCCTGAAGGGACTCTGAGCTCTTCAGCTCAAGGCTAGCGCTCTACCACTTGAGCCACAGCGCCACTTCCGGTTTTCTGGTGGTTTATTGGAGATAGGAGTCTCACGGTCTCTCCTGCCCGGGCTGGCTTTGAACTGCGATCCTCAGATCTCAGCCTCCTGAGTAGCTAGGATTACAGGCATGAGCCACCAGCGCCTGGCTTACTTCCAGCTTTTTTGGTGGTCACTTGAGTGGCGTCCAGCTTTTTTAGTGGTTTAAGAGTCATAGATTTTCTTGCCTGGGCTGGCTTCAAACCATGATCCTCAGATCTCAGCCTCTTGAGTAGCTAGGATTACAGATGTGAATTTCTCTTTTGTGGTGATATGGAATGTTTCAACTTTAACTCAGGGCCTTGAACTTGCTGGGCAGGTTTTTTTTTGTTTTTTTTTTGTTTGTTTGTTTGTTTTTCCTACTTAAGTATCACCCTCAGCTCTTACAGCTGCCATTTTTGGACAGAGTAAAGAATCTAAGACTTTTTTTTTGTCAGTTGTGGACTTGAACTCGGCCTGGGTACTGTTCCTGAGTTCTTTTGTTCAAGGCTAGTGCTCTACCACTTGGAGCCACAGCTCCCCACTTCTGGACTTTTTTATTTTTTTAAAACAATTTCAGCCAGGTGCTAGTGGCTCATGCCTATAATCCTAGCTACTCAGAAGGCTGAGATCTGAGGATCACAGTTCAAAGCCAGCCCAGGCAGGAAAAGTCCATGAAACTCTTATCTCCAATGAACCACTCAGAAAACCAGAAGTGGTACTGTGGCTCAAGTAGTAGAGTGCTAGCCTTGAGCTGAAGAGCTCAGAGACAGCACAGGCCCAGAGTTCAAGCCCCATGACGAACAAAACAAACAAAAAACAATTTTCAGAGGCTTCTCAGTGAAGAATGGTTCAATTAAAGGGCAATGTAACGGTTTTCAGAGTTTGATTGTGACTCCTTATCCTGATCCTGAATAAGCAGCAAGATTATGACAGACATCACAGGATACCTAAGGGACTAGAAGGCTTCACTGGATTTGAAGATGACTTGGTACCATTGGCATTGATGTACCTGTAATCATCAAATGTGGACCTAAGATGCTTGGCCTCCTTAGCTAGCCCAGAATGTGCTGTTTTACATGATAGAAGAAAGAAAAGCTGAGTTTGCCCTGGAAACCCTTATGGCTACATTTTACCTGTTGATGTCCTTGAGTAATTAAAAAATGCCTCCTAATTGGCTGTGGGCTAGGAAAAGACAGATTAAATCATGTGCTGACATTAAGAGGATGCCATCAGTTGATATCCTGAGCTGCAAACATCTCTTAAATTTTGACCCCTTTAGGCTTGTTTACAAAGAAAAGATTGACCCAATCACACCACTAGTTTAGGTTGGTAATGACACTTCCATTGTTACTTCCATTTTTGGACATCATATTAACTCATTTTCTACCTTCTTGGAACCCTATGTCTGCTTCCTATTTGCTGAGAGATTGCCAGCCAGTGCTATAGTTGTCAAGCTGCCTTAAAGGTCATAGGGGTATTTGGCACACCTTTCAAAAAAAAAAGTTCTGGGCATTTTTTGCCCACTTGGTAGAAAGCCAGGTAAATCACCCACTGGGGCTTATAAGGAACAGATTTTGGAAAAATCTGTGTGGATAAATAGGAAGCTAGAAAGTACA